TACATATATATATATATATATATATATATATATATATGTATGTGTGTGTGTGTGTGTGTGTGTATAGATATGCACGCCGAAATAATTTTAAAAAAACGGTAAATACCTGCAAACTAAATTTTCTAATATTTCACTAATTCGTTAACTTTAGAAAAGGTTTAGCATGCTTAAATTATAAAATAATGGCAAATTATATGAACCTTCAAATTATTTAGAAATAGTGGTTAATTAAAGCATAATAATTAGAATTTATTAAGCAGAGAGTCACAATTAATAAACTACCACTCGGAAATATTTATTCACTGTCCGGAGCAACCATATATATACAACTTAAGATACCAATACTATACTTACGAAAATCGAAGAAAAAGTATAAAATTTCAAGTTGCGACAGGGCCACGATGTCACAGTTAAAAAAGTTTTTGAAGAAAAATATTCTAAGGTTAAATGAAATAAGTTATTGCCCTTCATGGGCGAACAAAAAGGATCTACTGCGAAGGAGAAAAACGATAAAAAATGAAATAACATACTAAATATCCCCTTGTGAAAGCACTAAAGGGAAATAGCTATCAAACTATCTAAAAGGAGGAAATCTTAAAAAGAAATTAAAGCGGGCCTGTACACCCACTTTAATTTACATTGAAATGTTCACGTTATTCAATCCCTACTATTTTAAACATGCAGGGATTGATCTTTAATTTTGATCATTTACGAATTGAATTAGTGATAGAGTTTATGATAAATAGTGTTACATTTTATGTAATAATATCTCATTCTGGTAACCAGGCCTGAAAGAGAGACTGAAAAGAGAAAGTACTGGTAGTAGAACTATTTCAATAATTAATAATTTTCGGGAGGAGTTCTTTGCAATAAACAAATCACTGTTCGTGAAAGCCCTTATATAGCAAGACGGAAAAGAGAAAAATCTGGTACGTAAAACATTTCATTCCAGCATTTTTTTCGAAAAAAATGAAATATCTGTAACTATCAAGATTTCTTTTATAATTCTGGCATATATATAAAACTGCTTCTTTTCCAAGATAAAGTAGATAGTGTTGAAAAATTTAACAAAAGAATAAGTTAACTCCTCCCCAAAACTAGCTATAACTGAAATGGTTTTACTACCAGCCTTTCCTCTTTTCCGTCTCGCTTTCATCCCTGCTTTAGTAGAAGTAATTCTATATATAAATTGCATCCGTAAAAAGTATTTGGTTGCTATGGATACTTTATTATTCCCGAAAAAAAGTTTAAAAAATTTATTTGCAACCAGTTTTTACTCTTTTCCGTCTTTATAAATATAGGGACTTTTAGCCCTGCTGGTAATAGTGTTATTCTCAACTTTAATACCAAATTTATATATTTTGTTAACTTCTGATTAAACTGCAAGTTTTGTCTTTTCGCAAATGATTGTTTTAAGTTATCTGCGAATTGTGAGAAATTTATAATAACCCGTTTTGTCCCGAATTTATATATGGAAATGATACAAAAAGTGGTTTAATATATTATAGAAATTAATTGGTTTTTCCACTGTTATGGCATTCAAAAAGTCTTTAATAGATCAAAAAGTACTTGTTCCTTATAATTCTAGATCTAATCAGAAATAACTAAATCATTGTGGTATCTGAGAATCTTTTAATTCACCCAGATAGATGAAAATGCTGAAGAAATTTTCCCACCACAATGAATGTCTTTGAAAAAGGGAACTGTCCTAAATATATGACGCTGGGCGTTAACCGGTTAAAGCATTCCATTTAGACTTAATTTCTATTTTCTTTATTTATTTATTCAGGTTAGGCAAGGTAGCAACTACAGATAACAAATTAGGAGACCGAGGGATAGTGGTGACAAAAGAGATGAATATGGATGATGAGGTACCAATGCATTATGATGCTGAATATTTTCCAGATCCTGAAGTATTTAATCTCGATAGGTAAAACATGGATCTAGGTGGCTAATGCTATGCTATGCTATGAAAATGTAAATAATCGGAATTGTGGTTACCGTTTGTGGAACAGTAAATTATTTAGGTTGCAAATTTGAGTCTGGCAACGAACTCAAACAGTGTATTCTTATTGAAGAAGTAAATTCATGTAGGTATTCAAGTAGTGCTGTTTACCTATGCTTTTTTCCAGTGCTCTTTTTCTTTGCTTTTCTTTTCGCTCCTTTGGAGCTTTTTTAGTTCGTTCTGGCGAAAATTATTCTTTTCGGAAAACATTTCGCAAAGTCCTTGTATCTATGGCGAAAATGTGTAGTAGTTGCACCTCGTTTAAGTAAATTCCATAGAAAATGAACACTGCTCCATGAAAATTGATTTTTGTCAAAAGGGAGTAGATTTCACACTCTTACGTTTCATTCCGTATGCCCCCGTACGCATGATTTGAAATAACTGCGCCGTAAGTTCGCATACTTCAACTCCAGAAAAATACAGTTGTGTCCGGGAAAAAAGTATCAAACTTGTGTGAATGAAATAGGGATTTTTAAAAATTCCTTAATTTAATCACGATAACCAAGAAACTGTTTGGGAATGAGATTCGCTCTGATGGAGATCAAATTATGTATGGCAAACATATTGCATCATCACAGAATCAAAACTCATTCAACAGCTAAAGTAAATAACCTTTGATTTTACTAATTGATTTTTATAGGTCGCAAAAGAAGCTTTAAAGTCAGTGACTTTTTTTTTCTACAGGTACCATTGGAGTACAGGAAATTCAAGTCTTTTCTCAGTGTAAAGGAATTGCCTCCAGGTTTAGAAAAAAAAGACAATATTCACCACTGCAAAATTTCTAAAAATGTATTGGAAGTTACGTGACGCGATGTTTCTTTAAGTTATGCAATGCAGTGTTTTGAAGGGTAACATATTTCAATGGTTGCCTTTATTTTAGAAGTTCTTTACCGAATAATTAATTTGGGATTTGTTTTAAACTTATTTTGCTGTTACTCCCAACAAATAGCTAGACCTGCCAACTCTTCCGGATTTTGCGGAAGATTTTATTTTTATATTTAAAGTGGTAGTAAATATATACTATTTTTTCTTTTATAATTTTAATTTTTAAATGATTTTGATCACCACTATTCTTACAAAAATTAAGCACATATATCAATATGCGTTACTATCACTGTGGTCAACTTAAGTTTTCTCAAATACAACGTATTTGTTTGGTTAAAATTGAAGTTTTAATTCCATTTTAATACCACTGGGAAAAATTATAATGGAAAGGATTAAAAGTTGGCAGGTATGAAATAGATCACAAAATTTCCAAGAACGTAGTAGCTTGCATTAGCTCTTTCATTTAGAAAATTTTAGCTGTGGTAGCAGCTAAAATTTTGTGAAGTCGAAAATTTCATGCTTACATATTATTTGGCGTGATAGTGGCACACATAAGAAGCCAGGCATTGTAAATTGTTTTAAAATGAACAGTGCAAAGGTAAAGGTATATATCGAAGATTATATTTACATAAATATTTAAATTTTTTGGAAACCTATTACGTATTCTTTTGAATCGTATACTAACAAATAGACCATAAATTAGCGCCGAGAAAAGAGCTGCTAACAACAGCACTTTCATTTGGAGATTTCTTTAGTGGTAGCAAAACAATCAATTTGGAAGTCTTAGACAATTATAATATTTGAAGTGACATTATTATAAGATTAAGAAGCAGTCAGAAACAATAAAAAATTGGCCTTAAGCGTTTGCAAGTGTGTTAACATTTTGCATTTAAAAAACACCGCAAAGGTACATTTCAAAATTACCTTTATTCTTGAAATCCTTGATACATGATTTGCAACTCAAAATAAAAGATTGAAGGCCTTCTAAATGGGTGTTAATCCATTATATTCTACACACACAAATCAAAGTAATGCTTTATTTGTATTATCGACGCGTTCTCACAAAAAAGTGTCTAACATACAATTTTAAAGAACGCTATACAAATTTACGATGTCAGAGCATTTGAATTACATGCCGACGAGTTAAGTTCCAAGCGATGAATTTTACCTCTGATTAAGAATAAATTCTCATAATGTTCTCATTACATCTACCAGCTGAAGTTTTCACTGGCGGATGTATTGTTTTAAATTAACATAAATATAGTAATCACATTGATGATCTTCGGAAGATTACAATTTATATTTAATGTAATTAATATTTTGTTGTGGTGGATAAAGAAATTTCATTTTCTTTTTTTAATGCTTCAATGTAAGCGTTTGGTCGAGGCACCAGCCTTGCGGCTTTATAACCTTTTAATCTGAGATAAAATTGCCAAATTCAACGGGCGAATGTGGTCGATTGACTTATATACAGAACAGTAAAATGTGTGATATAAACCAAAAAGAATATTGGAATAATAATTGATAAGATACAAGCGCAATCAATAGAAGAAATCTGAATAACGTAAAAATTTGAAAGTTTAGGCTTAGGCAGTTTTTGAAGTGGCAGTACTCTAAGTTTAGGAAGTAGTCAGACTTATTAAAAATTTTGTCTAAAGAGGAAAACCGCAAAAGTATCCGGTATCAGCTGGTCTGTAGTAGAAAAATAACAGTTTTTATAACAAGCATTAACCCTTTCGCGCCGACTGTCACAAATATGTGACAGCATAAAACCGAATCAATCAGGGTAAAAATATAAAACTGGTAATCAAAGTATTTCTTTAGCAGTTTATTTGTGGGCGGAGTTATAATTGTTTGATTTATTTAATTTACCATTACTTTGTTCAAAATAAAACTATTTAGTTATACTTTGAATTAACATTGATTTTATATATGATTAAACTAACAATAATTAAAGTAAAAGCAAAGTAAGTCTGTCAAATCAGCAACGACTACATTTAAGTTACCGTTTTTTATTTAATTACAACTTGATTCTGATTTTGTACGAATGCATTTCTGAATCACCCGTCCCCAAGGGGTTAAGGATGACAACTGTCTTGATAAAACAGGACTGTGCTATTCAAAAATTAAATGGGCAGGGAATGTTTGTCATGAGTGAGAGAATTGAAATTTTTCTGTTTCTTATTAAATAAATTACTTAAAAATTAAATTTTTCAAAGTATTATCTTTGAGTTAATGAGTTTTACAATAGAGTGGATTTTTTTCTTTTTCTGCTCTTTTAAATATTTCTAGAGATATAATTAATCTGCAAAAAGGCATAATAACAACTTCTGACTTCTCTCCCGCCTAAACTATAGGCATCATGCTTTGCAGATTGCGACTGCTCCCTCTTATTTTAGATTTAAGAATCCAAATCCATTGAAAAACAATTTATTCAGAGAATGGTTATGAAACTGATTTCAGAACTTAAATTATCACCTGCACATCACCTCACTCAAGCCAAGTTAGAACCTTGAACTACCAGTATAATAAATAATTAGTGATGTGCGAAAAACGAACGAATCGATATTTCAATCAACTCTTTTTTTGTGAATCGATTCATCAAGTTCGTTTTTGAAAAAGAATCGATTCTTTTTTTTCTTTTTTTTGACAATATTTTGTACTCTACACTTTATAAGCTTATTCAGAGTTAGTACTTATACTTACTAAACATCCGCAAATGCATTTGATACAGCATTTCGTTTATACAATTGGAGCTTGGTAAAATCCTAACTCAGTTGAATAGACACAGGTCCATTCTCACTCGAGTATCATGTGAATGACAATCTGATTGGTTGAAAATATTTACATGCGAACAACTTGCCAATAAGGTGTGAGAGTTTTCGCTACCGGAAAAATCGCATCCAATGAGAATGACCCCGATGTCAACGTTAGCGCACAACCGGTTTCCGGTGGTGATTAATAAAATGGACTCACTTGAAAGATGAAGGGAATTGAAAATGATATTAATGCACATACGTACTGTATTCTGATGCAGTGAAAACTATGCATCACTCTCTCTTTTTTTCTTTTCATCTACGAAATTAATAAATTCTATTGATAAACAACAATTTAAAAATGGCAACAACAACTGAAAAGCTGTCTTCTCCAGTTTCGGTTCTTCCTTCCAAATAAAAAAGATATTAATGCTGTAAAGCTCAGATATTACTTTTCAGTCCTTTAATATTAAAGAGCGAATTTTTTCATTCATATGGCTAATTTTCAACTTATAAATTTCAGTAAATATGAAGAAAAGCAGAGCTTTATGTTATCGTTTATTCTATGCCAAGGAGCGAGAGCCATAGAAAATGAAACCGTTGCGCTGATTGGGTAATGAACTTCGGTATGAATGCAAATGTCTGATTGGTTGAAAATGAACTGAATGAGAGAAAAAGAGTCGAGAATCGAATGAACGATCTTCTGATTGGTTGAAAATGAGTTGAGTCGAATAAAAGACTCAATGAACTGGTTGCCTATCTCTTAGCATTAGAAGAATCATAAAAGCCAAATGAATCGATTCTTTTGAACTGTTTCCTATCCCTTAACATTGAAATCGGCTCAAAGAGTTGAATTGAACTTCTAAACGATTCATTTGAGTCGTTTCGTATCTCTTAACATTGATATCGGCTCAAAGAGTTGATTTGGATTTCCAATCAGTTCTTTTGAGTCGTTTTCCTATACTTTAACATTGCATTCGATTCACTGAACTGTTTAAATGATTCATTTGAGCGGTTTTATATCTTTTAACATTAAAAGAACTGTTTTGAGAAACGAATCGATTCTTTTCGCTATTATCTTTTTTTCTAAAATTAAAAGATGCCTTCAGAGGGATGGGGGTTATGAAAAGGGGCAAGTAACTAAAAATTTTCAGAAAAAANATTTATTATTTTGTTTCACGTGATACATTTTGAATTTTTTTTCATTATTATAAGTGAATTTACTGTTTTATTTTTTTACGAATATCTTTATTGTTAGTTATCGGTCTTTATATTGACAAATTAAGAAAAAAAAGAAATTATAAAATTGTTGTTTTAAACAAATTTTAACAAAAAAATTAAAAT